AATTTTAAGTAATAATGTATAGGAAAATTTCAAATAGAACAAAAGTTAAGTGTTCCCCACAGGATTAGGGCCCTTACCACCTTAGTTATGCATGTACAAAAATAACAAATACAATCTAGTGGCTGTAAAAAACTATTTCCCCTAAAAATAGTTATCTCTGCAGAACAATTTAAGGAGAAACATGTTCTTAACATGAAAATGCACTAATCTATTTTACAACCTGCACAAGTATTTCAGAACAAAATAAAAATGAAAACATGTGCAAAACACCAACATAAGAATACACAGAATAATTAAATATTAACAGAAATTTTAAATCACTAATAATCTTGGGTTTAGTGACACAATTTAAATGAAGCTGTCAACCAAACCAAAAATGCTTATATATGTTGCATCTTCCAACACTTCTGTCAATGTATTGATAGAAAGTACTTCAGAATCACTAACAAGGAGGACCCACACAATCAACCTACTTTGTTTTCTTAGTGCGATGGGTGGTTGGGAGGTGGTAAGTCAATAGCGTAAGAAGTAACTTAAGGAAAAGGAGATGGCAAACATAGAATGAAAAAAGGCCAGTGATTTCAGTATCTTTGAGAATTGTAATCTAAAATTTTCTATTGCACAGCATTACATGCAGAAAAAGAACTTGCATCATACTTGCAAAACTGAGATTATTCAATATTTTAATCTGTATTTTCTCTCTTTTGTCAAAGTTTAAGTACCAGTTCAGCTATAAATGGAAGACGTGGAACACAGTATTATACCTTTAAAATAAATTATTCTCTATGATTAACTCATTAGAAACATCTTAAAAATTCAAATTGTTTACAGTCAGAATTGCTGTATCTTAAACTCTTCCATTAAATCTTGACATATCTTTACCTCTAAATATTAATCTCATACACCATTACACTGATACTAAACAACAGTAATTCCTATGGGTGAATCTTAACATTATGACAAAACTCGAATATTTGTTATTTTAGGAGTGGTTCTTAAAGAACAGATCCAGAATAGCGTTTCTAAAAATTAGGTCTGTTCTTTAGAATTTCAGATTAAGTTTCAAAATCAGTTTTCCCCTTGGTATGCAGTCACATTTTCAAATTACAAATATACTTCTGGTCCCACATCTTTTAAAAAGACATTCAAAATTTTAAAATTATAAACAATGTATGAAATGATTATACAATTTTAAATGTTATCTGTGATATGCAGGCTTAAAATTCAGCGTAATTATTATATAAAATGTATTCCAATTTCTTTGTACAATGATCTGCAGGCTTTAAATTCATTTGTTCATCTGAGTGAAAATATGTTTAAAAAGTAAAGGCTGTTACCTTAAGCTACTTCTATCTTAAATATTGGATCCATTTTTTCTTACTATCCCTTCAATCAAAACTATCCTACAGTAGTTGAGATAAAATTCAAAAGTTATCAGGGAAAGAAACAAAAGTAGAAAACAAGAGATAAACTTTGATTTTTTTTAATTATTATATTTAGCTGTAACATAATTAAACTAAATTTTTAAAAATTAAATAAAACCTATACATCCAAATGATACTACTTCAAAGTAGTGACATCAAGAAACTATTCCTTTATTAAATGATGCTACCAATGCTCAAAATGTTCTCTCCTGCAAATTTAGAACCTGTGGCAGTCTTTTGAACTTCCCTAATGGTTTAGTTCTAAGAAACCAGCAAAGTAGAGTTGGTTTGGTGGCTGAGATAGATAGGTCATATTAAGCTGCCAAAAGTTTTCAGTGCAACTAAAATGATGAAATAAATTTTCTTGCATAGTCATAAACCAATTCTCAAGGCATCTCTAAAAATGTTCCAAAAACATTACATCTTCAAAACATAGCTGGTAAGAGTAGTGCTCCCCCAGGAACCACTCTGAAGATCAACTCTCATTTGGATGTTTAAGGTATGACATACTTATTTTAAAAGAAAGCCCTACAATTTAATAAGTGTATCTCACATATTTTACCATTTCAGTGGTTATCAAAACCTCTCTCAGAGAGGGTGTACATAAAGGTATAAAAGAAATGTCATTTTGCTATTTTCCCGTAAGCAAGGAAAATGCTAATACATAAAATGGAGTTTGGTGATTACATGTAAAATATAAATATCCACATCATCTGTATTTCCTGAAGATAAGAGATTGTAGTGTTTTATCTTTCCTGATAAGCCAGGCAGTAACTCAGTCGGAGATATATTATACACTAAACCTGTCTTCTCCCACCTAATACATTTTATGCTGACCCTTTAGAATTTACAAATGACAAACAGAGAAAGAGCAATCTAAAATCTTTCAATTCAAAGTAAACTGACCACCAAAGCCTCTTCCAGCTTAACTAACATGTGCTACTGTTTTAATGCAGTCTAATGCCATGATTTTTATGGGAAACAAAATAATCAAGTCAGCAAATGAAATCCAGTAGCACCATCTACTGCTTAGTACAAGATTTTCACTCTGTTATTAATTTCTCTCTACCACCATTACTCCATCATTTAAAATCATTCCTAAAACTTGCTTCATTTCAAATTTAACCAAAGCATTGTGACAATAATATTATGTTAACTTACTATTTTATATTTTATGCTTTTATTAGTGGACGAGAAAACCAACTTTTGCTTTATATCTCTGTATAAAGAGCAAGGGGGAAAATCATTATCTTGCTTATTTATAAATTAAGAGATCTGGAAAGAATCTAATACACAATTATAAGCAAACTCTGCTGTAAAACCAAGATTTGATCCTTATTCTATAAAGGGCATCTTACTAATGCTCATGGGAACTAATCAAAGCAATGTTTTGATAAATCAGTTATTTCTCACATGCTCTGGTGAGTGTTTCCTTACCTATAGCCATGTAACACCATGTACAGTTCCAGGCCTCTCCCTGGGAGAACTTCTCTACTTTGTTACCATATATACACTTACACATCTCCTTACTTCCTAATAATACCTCTGTTGAAAGGAATACTCAGAAGCAGGCACCTGAGATTCTGACACAGTGACAACAAACTCCTATCTACATACAGTAGGAAAGTAGGGCCTACTACTAAACATTAATTTATAGAAATATTTTTTCCGCTTTTACAGTGTACTACTGTGTAAGGCTTAAAAAGAGCAAGAACAATTTTTCACTATTCTCTACACTTGGCTATTGCAACCCCTTTGTTACTGGGTTGATATAAAGTCAAATTCAGTATGGAAGACTACTTGAAAAACTACGTGCTTCATTTTCATAAATAGGACTCAAAATTATTTGACAGCAAATTTTATTTTTGAATCAACCATAGTGGCTGATATTACCTATTTGGATAATAAAAGATTTGTTTTAAGGAAATCAGCTTGTTCTCATACACATTACCAATACGTGTCCAATATATTTGCCTCTGCCAGGCTCTCCTGTTACTTCTACTATTGGTACTTGGAGAATGATTGTTAGAAATGAAATGGAGAAAAAGGCAGTTCCTAGTGATCATAATTGCAATGGAATTAAATTGTATCACTGCTCTCCTTGTTATGGCAAAACAAACTGATTTCATAAGATTCTTTCCTAGTGACCATTTTTAGTCTATATAATTTCAGAACAAGATTTCTACTCTACAAGGAAAAAGGTGTGTATTTCAAACTGAAGGAAGAGTTATATATAGGTAACTGAAGGAAAGATTTACTAGAAATGACAAAATTAAAACTGGAAGTCTGAAAAAGATATTTCTTGAGAATAAAACTGAAGTAAAAAATGCTAACATTATTTTAAAAACTAAGTTTCTGAACTTTTTACTCATGGGAATAATTCACTAGACAGCCATGACAAATAAAATGCAAAAGTTAATACTACTGAATTAGCACTTTCATTGTCTGGTATCACTGCAAAGAAAAAGATTTCCTTTCACAGTGGAAAAATTAGAAGTCAGAATGCTTCAAATTGGGCCTATCATAAGCAAAGAAGGTACTGTATCATTTTAAAATGACAGGCAAACACCAGCTCCATTCACTGAATGGGAATGCTGGGGCATGGATCAATTTCCCCAAATAGTCCTTAAATTCCATGTTTAATGTCTACCCTAAAATTAATAATTTATTTTTAACTTCTCATGGAAGTTGATTCCTAAAAGGAAGTCTCTAAGACTTTGTTTACAAGAAATTAAAATCTTCATGCCACTCTATTCAAGGATTTTAAGACAAGACTTTCTGAACTTGACTCACCATACTTAATCCCATCTATAGCTCCCCATACAAATTAACCCTCCCAACCAAACACACACTCCTATCCATCCCCTCCTCTTCAAAGTAGAAGGGAATTCTGTAGACTTATGGCTCATTTGGCAATTGCTAAGAAACCTCACAGTTCAGCATCACCTCTGAAGTTGGCAAACCTATATATAACCTGATTTTCACACCCACAGTGCAGTTAACATGTAGAAAGAAGCTAAAATGCAATAGGTATTACACGTCAACATCCTCAAGTTTCAGAATCACAGATACCAAGAGATGGAAAAAGACCTGCTTGTAGAACTTTAAGCATTTGTTGAACAGAATTACCACCAATATCAAAAATAATACTAATTTTTTATGTTCTACATGCACACCTTTACAAATTATATTTCTTCAACGTAGTAAAAGCTGGAGATCACCAATTTAGGTAAACTATGGCTTTTATCATATTTTAAAACATGCATCAGTAAGTGCCCTGGGTAGTATTCCTAATATTTCAAGCCCTGTTCAGTTCTATGTCTGTGCTCTGCACCTCAGAAGTAAGCCTGCCAAAGGCACTTAAAAACATAAGTCTTTTGGGGACTTCAAAAATTGGCCAAAACAACACAGAACCCCCATCCATCAGCAATCCAATCAAGTAAGCATTTTCTTTCAACACACAGTTTTATCAAAAATTTTGCAAGTAATCAAACCAAAAAAAAAAAAAAAACAAAACACTGTATGCCACTAAGACAAAATTTACCCCTATCAAATATATAGAGAATGGTTCTTGGCTTCCTCTAGCAATAGAATATGGTTTCATTTATTCAGAATAAAGAAAAACTAACCCAAACAAGCACCCCAAACCTAGGACAAAAACGACCGAGATAAAAATAAAACACAACAAAATCCATATGAACTCCACACACTTCATTTGAGGAACAACTTGCACAGCTCTTCATCCTTTTATCTGTCCTTTGAGGTGAGTTTTTCAATCAGTTCTTGGAGTGGTGCAAGTTCTCTTCTATCAATAAGGTTGAATTCCTATGCATGATAAAGACAGGAAAAAATAGTAAAGACGTATTATTTACATCTCATTCCAAAGCAGATTTCTATTAACATTTGGTAGAAATTAGCTTTCAAAGTAAATAAAAGTCTAATCTTTTTTTCAATACAATGTTTTTCTCTTCCCTAGCTGTGTCTTCCTTAGACAAATCACTTAAGCACTTTGGATATTATGTTGTACATGTCTATAATAATATTAGAGTAAATCCCCCTACCTCATAAAATTACTGTGGGGACTAAATGTGATACTGTGTGTTAACCACTTCATGTAATCCCTGGCATAACAGTAAGTGGGAGTGCTGCTTCTTGTTAAAAGGGAATAACCTGAGTATCATTTATATATAGTCAGCCAAATGGGGACCAAAAAATCTAGCATCTCAGGCAAATTTCAGCATTATAAGAAGAGTGAAAGAGTTAACACCTGCAAACTATCATGAAATGGGGTATGAGAATAAGGTGAGTAACGTGTAAAGTCCTATAAGAAACAAATTAGGAAGCCTGGATTTAATTTTTGCTTCTTTAAAATTCCACCCCTGTCATTCTGAAGTTCAGTTCTGAATAGATTTCCCCCCAAACTATAAAATTGTAAGGCTAATAAATATCGACTGTCCATACTTCTGATCTTCTGCCATAGTGGGGCATTCTGAGCTCTCATTTTCGTTCATTTATTAACATGATCATATGCCAACCACTGTGGTAAATACTAGGGAGAAGCATTAGGGGCATTAAGAGCAAGCCTACCCCTAAGATTTGTGGGATCTGGACTAAGAACACAAATGGATATATATATGACTATTACTATTAAATTTTACATTAAGCTAATACACTGTTAAATAAAACATGTTCTATTTTCCCACCTTGACAAATGTGCCTTCATAGTGAGCACGAAAACAGAATCAAATTGAGAATTCTCAAAATTCCTCAGTATTCTACACTGGAAAGTAGTAACATGAGGAGAGCCTGTCCCTGACCCTCGGCAAATTTCCCTGATCTTCTAAACCCCCAGCTCCACCCTGCACTTCAAGGGGCCTCACTTGCAGGAGTGTGACACCTGGCTGGTTTATATAGGCCATGGCCAGACACCCTCACAAACTGCTGCCATCTGACTACCTCCTAGCCTAGATCTAGAGGTACATATATCAGAGATATGACCTTCCCTTGAAAGAATGGACCCAAGGATAAGATCCATGCAGACACTGGAAATACAACTGGGACAATGTGGAAAGGAAATTCTGAAGTGTCAGGTACCTAAGCACAAACCAGTGGGATCTGGGAGGTACATTCTTTGCCCTGTGGGTCCCTTACACTGTAGGGAGTACAGCTAGAGAAGTGCCAGAATAGGGTTGTCTAAATAGTGAGGCCCAGGGCAGAGGCCCCTCTTGCTCAGTCAAGGGGTGATTGTATAATTAATGGACCTACCTTTAAGAAGGTCACAGTGTCTTAAGATATAAAAAGGCTCAGATGTGGTAAATGCTGTTATTTATCAATCCCCTACTATTTGCTAGGAGTTGAGAGATAACATTGTACCTTAAGAGAAGATCATACAGGGATGTATGGGTGGCTCAGCTGGTTGGGAGTCTGACTTCAGCTCAGGTCATGATCTCGGGGTCCTGGGATCGAGCCCCAAGATGAGACAGGATCCGCACTCAGTAGGGAGTCTGCCTCCCCTCTCCCTCTCCCCCTGCTCATGCTCTCTTTCTCAAATAAATAAATAAAATCTTAAAAAAAAAAGGAAAAATCATACAGTAAGATAAAACTAACCCAATCCTAAATCACTAAAACCTGAACATTGGTAATCATGATCTGCCTAAACCAAATCACAGAAGTAAACTTTGAAATAACATTTTCTTTGTTTCTGTGGGTGTCTGTAGGTGGGATACCATGGTGAAGTAACTGCTCGGAGCAACAGTTTTGGCAAGTTAAGATCTCCTAAAATGTGTTTATATAGGTGAAATTAAGACACAAAATGTGTATGTTCAGTATGAAAGGTAGGTATAGAGGGAAAATAGACACATTTTTCTTTAGTGGAGATGGGGTAAGGGGAGGGCATTTATAAGTATATGCCCACAGATATAAAAAAATTACACAGATTCAAGATTTGGACTTCTGCCTATCATCTACCCTCTCAACCTCCAACAACAACAAAAAAAAGCCAGTCAGCTTAACTATTTCCACCTCTTTTTCACTCCTGCCTATTAGTGGTCTAAATATTATAGCAGGATGAAAATATCCAACTTCTCTTAGTCTACACCTCTGAGAACTAAAGGGAGAAGGAAGAGAAGGTCAACCCGAGTCAGAAAAAAGACTAATGGACCTCTGGAATAGCAACATTCCTTGGGACCTTTTTTTCCTCTCTGGATATAATGAGTAGTACCTAACTTAAAAATTATTCAGAATATGGTTTTTAAAAGGAAGAAAAAAAAGTATTATATACAAAGTCCATTTCCAGGCCAGAATATGCTTAAAAAAAAAAAATCTAGGGTAGATAGGAATTAAGGGTTAAGACGATTAGGAGGAATGCTAATGTGCTAAAGGTACCAAGTTCATCTACAGGCCTGCCAAACTAGCCAGGTTCCTAACTCAGTCCCTCCATATGGCCTGCTAAATGAAGCAAATTCAAAGCAAGACCTCAAAGATCCATTTTAGACTTGCATGCAACCAGTTTGGAGATGAATGAAATTCAGAAACAAAAGGCCTTATCATCATGGTAAGTATAAAAGAGGATAAAGACTAGACAGAGAAGGCAAATTTTATCCTAAAAGTATGGATGCAGGATTCACCTTGGAACTCTGCAGATAACTGGTTTTACTGAGCAAAAAAGGCCTCCTAATTCAACTTACCTGGACAAAAAAAATAAAGTGCTTGAAAGATGTATTGAGATGCGCTTCCTCCTGAAGTTGGATCACAGGGTCGAAATGCTGGTGATAAATGTGAGCATAAACCCTAAAGAGGCGTTTGAGTATAGTTTTTGCCACAGACATGAAATTCTTCGGGAATGGGACACCTAATAAATAAACAACGCCCTCTATTAACAAGAGACAAGAACAAGGCAGTAGGAGTTTGTCAACAAATGGCAACATAAATTAACAAGACAAAGCTGAAAGAAAGTATTTGTGAATTACTAATAATACCCACTGTACTTTCTGGAAGTTCTCAACATATCATGACTGAAAATAAACTTTTAAACTTCCATGGAATTAGAACTAGACGTTAGCAAGCCCCTTAAGCCTTTTTACCTACCACTTTACTAAAATGAAATAAATTTATGCCTAAGATGGTAATGAAGCTAAAACTCATAATCTCAGATTTCTTAACATCAAGTCTCAATATAAATATTTGCTGAACACAAACAATACTAACCATGCTCAGTGTTGCTTACAATGCCTGCAATACATTTTTATGTTTTCTCTATGCAAATTATTTCATAACACTTCCAGGTCTACATTTATTCTGAAATTAGCTGAAGTCCCTCTCAATGAGGCTGTTTTATGAGTAAGAGCACTTTTACAGAATTAAACAAATACAAGACTAGAAAAAATACAAAATTCCATGTCCTTTGTCCAACTGGCTAAATGACCCAGATTTGGATTCAGTGTTATCACATTGCCTTATCACACTGCCTACTGCTCATTTTAAAATATTATAGGTCACGGGGCACCTGGCTGGCTCAGTCAGTAGAGGGTTGGGGTTTTAAGTTCAAGCCCCATGCTGGGTGCAGAGATTACTTTAAAAAAAATATATATATATATATATGCATGCATACATATTTAAATATTACATATTTATGTATATAGTATATTGTGTGTGTATATATATAGTGATCTATTTCTACATAAATAGATCACAAAGAAACATAAGACAAACCAAAATGAAGGGACACTATATAAATTAGTATGCTTATACTCTTCGAAAAGATCAATGTCATGAAGAACCAAAAAAGAATGAAGTATACATATTCCATACTAAAAAAGCTACAGAAACATGAGAAGTGAATGAAAACAGAAATCAAAAGATTTTCTTTTACTATAAAGGATATTATTGGGAACATTTGAAAAATCTGAAGAAAATCTGTAAATTAAACAATAGTATTGTATCATTGTTAAATTCCTGATTTTGGTAGTTATACTGTGATTTTCTAAGAAACTACACACTGAAGCACATTTGGATAAAGGGGCATCATACATACAACTTACTCTCAAGCAGTTCGGGAAAAAGAAAACATGAAGTTGGGGGGAGGAGAGAGAAGACAACTGTGGTAAAATGTTAGCCACTAAAAAATCTGGAAGAAGAAAAAAAATCTGGAAGAAGGATACATAGGGATTCTTTGCATAATTCTTGCAAATTTTCTAAAAGCCTGAAATTCAGTCAAAATAAAAGGTTATAAAATATAAAATATGTGAAATTCAGTCATAATAAAAGGTTATATAAAATATATATATAATATATATATATAAAATGTATTATAGGAGATAAAAGGTGCTAGCACTTAACCAAAACGATTATGATAGATATAAGTAATGCAGTCCTGAAAAACAGATCTTTTTATTACAAAGGCTCCAAAGTAGTTAAAACATTCAATAAACGTGTTTAAAACAATCCATAGTAACAGCAACTATTTCCATTGCGGTCTCCTCCACCACACCATTCTTCCAAACTCTAAAAGCATACAATATAGTCAAAAAGTTGTCTGTTGGTAGAAGAACTAATTCTTATTTTTTTCAGCAAACACAAGTTGTAAGAAGTTTGAGAGGGTAAAATTATATGAATTATCTAGATGTGAACAATTTCCACTTGAAAGAAAATATAATTTCCTTAAAAGCAAATATAAAAAAAGCAAAAGTCACTCAGTAGATAACAGGCTAACCCCGCAAATCTTGTTTTCTTCTCACCTAGCTTGATTTCACAGTCTGTAAGATTCACACTGTAGTCATAAATTCAAACTCCCTCTCTGCCACAAATACACTGTAAAAGTGGAGATAAGTCATATAAACTCCTTCCCTAAACAAGAAATGGATATGACTGTGGCAGATGATACTCCCTGCCTACCCAGTATTCAGTCTCTTTTTTCTACAACACAGGCTAAATTTTGTTACTTTCCAAGATACACTAATCTTCTCGTTGTTTAAAATTACAGGGAGCTTTCACTTAATGTTCATGATAAATTCAGTGTGAAAAAGATAAAACACTTTTAAACGTATAAGATTAGAAATATTTTGATAGGTATGGTAGTTTAGTATAGTTCCTGGAATAGAGAGCCAATAAGCTCTAGAAACACATTAAATTAGATAAATCATAGGGGCGCCTGGGTGGCTCAGTCATTAATCATCTGCCTTCGGCTCAGGTCATGATCCCAGGGTCCTGGGATCTAGCCCTGCATCAGGCTCCCTGCTCAGCGGGAAGCCTGCTTCTCCCTCTCCCACTCCCTCTGCTTGTGCTCTCTCTCTCGCTGTGTCTCTCTCTGTCAAATAAATAAAATCTTTAAAAAAAATTAGATAAATCATAATGGATTCCGATTATACAATTATACCAATTTTTGATGGAAATAATGTCTCATCATCCAACTGGTCCTGAACCCAAGTCATCAGGTAATCAATATACTTTGGCGCAGAGCACTTAATAGGCTTCTTTATGTTTGTTCCATCTGCCCAATGATACTCATATCTGTATTGGAAAGATAATAGACACATAGAATATCAGTATATACCTATACAAAATGTGTATATTTTTATATTATATATGCATGTATATTATGAATGTACACAAGACATGTTTTAAACAATCTGCCCCTCTAAATAAGGATATTTTGCATTTAGCATTTAAATTTAGAGCCTTTAAACTGTTACTAGACTATTTTGCATTTATCATGATCCAAACTAAGCAGGTCCCATCAAACTCATTTTTTGTAAGCTTTTCTTTATATACAGCATTTATATTTTAGAATCATACATTGCCATAGCAGAAAACCTAGCTAGCTTTCTACTTCTCCATTTCTCTGATAACCACCTTTAATCTTTATGGTTGTTTTTCTTCTTTGAAAAACATTTCTCCTTATGCAATTCTCCTTATACAATTCTTTTAACTTGGGGCTTTAAATTTTGGGTTAAGGATAGATAATGACATGGAAGCTCCAAAGTAACATGCACAAAGAAAATGAGTCAATATCTGAGTACATTTGGTTGAGGAGCTAAATATGCCTTTAAAGAAACATGGCAACCCAAATAAAGATGCCTATAGGACCTGGGTATTAACAGAACACTATCCTTTGGTATAATCAACATTTAATGTACACCTACCACGTGAGAAATACTGTTCTTGACCAAGGGACACTAACTTTCCATACTGTCAAGGAAAACAGACTAGTAGAGGAGATAGGCTTGTAAATGAGTAGGTAAAAACAGTTTGGCAAGAATGATAATAGAGTTACACACACACACACACAACCACAACCACAACCTGATTTTTAAGATAGGGAATATGCACGCAGCTGAAACTCCAAAGCACAAAATCTCTAAACTGAATTATCATTTTGTATTTTAGTTTCCAAAAGATTACTTCTACCACTTAGCTTCTCTCTTTGAATCAATTTTGTTTTTCTAACCTTGTTCCAGTTTGAACTGACAAAATGATAGGTCAGTGAGTCTACCGAAGAAGGTGAAATATAATGGAAAAATACTACAGAGTATTTTAAATGATCTTGAGATAGGTTAAATAAGGAAACTTTCCATTTAATGATAACTACTTACACCTGAAAAATAAACCTCAACATGATACACGTGAAGAAACATTCTAACAGCATACCTTACTGCCAACCCTGGGCGACAGGGATGACTGTCAAGTCTACTTTGAAGGTCTCCAAAAAGAGATTCCCCAACATTTGGTATTCTATTCCACTGCTTAGTCACTTTCACTGTCAAGAGATTCTTTCTAATCTGAAACTAAAGTTCTGAGGGGGACTCAAGCCTGTTCTTACTTGATCCTCTTAGGAGACAGAGACCACGAATGGTAGAACTTTTAGCATCATTACTCTTCACTTAAAGACAGGGACTCATCCATGTTTTCTCCCACATGTTAAGAAACCTTAACATTTTTGCCTTTCCTCCCAATCATATTTTTCATTTTGTTAGTGATCAGGTCTATTTTTAAATGCAAAAATCAAAAGCAGACACAGTTGACCTAAAAATCATTTTCAATATTCTGAAGCTTTTTTTAAGCCTACTAATTTTCAATATCCCAAAGCTTTTTGATATACTGCTTATACTTCTACAGTTTGTAACTATGATTTTCTGATCCATTCTTCTTTTGTCATGTTTATACCAAAATGACTTCATCCTGTAACTCTATTTTGCCCACACTGATTTTTTTATTCCACTTTTGGCAGATCATTCTCTTTGAAACTTATTTGTCATCATGGTATGAACTTATCAACTGCAAACTGTAAAATATTCATCATTTCTTGGTTAATAATAATAATAATAACTGACAAACTCCTCTGAGGTATCACTCAATAACACTTTGCAAGGGGCCAGTACTAAGCTACTAATAAATGCCTCTCCTTGGTACAATCCCAAGCATCTTCTGCTAAAGATGGCAAAGCATGAGGACAACTGCATCTCCTCAGCACTAACAACGGACAAAACTTAAGACTCTCAAAAAGGAAGGGAGGGAAGTAAATGGAAGGAAAGGCAGAAGGAGGGGAAGGAAGAAGGGAAGGAAGGAGAAGGAAGGAAAGAATAAAAAGAAGAAAGGTAGTTGGAAGGATGAATGAATGGAAGGAAAAAGAAAAGGAAGATCATTTTTGTTTTTATAGTATCTTTATAGAGATCCTGTGCCTGTTACTTTCAAAGAAATACATTCTTTCTAACCAGCTTTTTAGAGAAGGTTTCTGTGGAGAAAGTGATCACAGCAGTATTCTAAGTGGCAGTAATTCTCTCTAGTTCACAGGATACTGGTATAATATCAGAAAACCTCACAGTAAAATACTAGTCAATTTCAAGGGGAGAAATGACAAATTTGAGGTAAAGAAACCTTGCAGACACTAAGATGATAAAGTAATCAGGGTTAACATCACCAGCGATGGGATGGTTGACATTGTGTGCCCCCTGATATGACCCACCAAGAAAAAAATGATCATTTCTATGGTGTCCACCTAAGAATGCATAGCCTGAATGTGGTCATAAGGAAACGTCAGACAGCCTGTGTCAGGCGTCCCCAAGACCAACCCCAGGTTTGATGATTTGCTAAGAGGACTTACAGAACTCAGCACACAGTTGTACTCACAGTTATTATTTATTACAGTGAAAGAACACAAACCAAAATCAGCAAAAAAGAAAAAACAAATGGGGCAAAGTCCAGAGGAAACCATGCACAAGTTTCCAAGGGTCTTTTCCCAGTGGAGTCAGAGGGCCCACTTAAATTCCCCTAAGACTCAGTTATGATAACACATGTTAAATACTGTCTACCAGGTAAGCTCATTGGAGACTCAGTGTCTATGTTTTATTTATTGGGGGATGGTCACGTAGGCACCCTCTGGGTGGCACATATTAAAATTCTAGATTCCCAGAAGGAAAGCATTAGCCATACTGTTTGTACAAAGAGTTTAGGCACAGTGAGCCAGTCTCATCTTAAGTTACGGAGGTGGAAACCCTTTTGAAATCCGAGTTCCCAAGGCACCTGGGTGGCTCAGTTGTTAAGCGTCTGCCTTTGGCTAGGGTCATGATCCCAGGATCCTGGGATAGAGCCCCGCATGGGCTCCCTGCTCATAGGGGAGCCTGCTTCTCCCTCTCCCACTCCTGCTGCTTGTGCTCTTTCTCTTGCTCACTGTCAAATAAATAAAGAAAACGTAAAAAAAAAAAAAAGAAAGAAAAGAAAAAGAAATCCAACTTCCCAGTTGCTATCCATGGATCAACCTTGTAAATAGGCCTTTCAAGAGGTAAGTCAGGCCTGCTATGTTACCTCTTTTCCATAAAAAGGGCAATACCAGAAAAAGACTGAGAAATTATTCTAAATTGTAGGTACCTGAAGAGATAAGTCAAATAAATGCAATACATATTCCTAGACAGGACCCAAGGGAAAACTGAGATATTGTTGAAGCAGTCATGAAATGTGAGTGGTGTCCATGGACTGGAAGAAGTGATCTGGAGGATCTGTATGCTGACTATGTAGAAGAGATGTAGAAGAGTGCCCTTGTTTTTGGAAAATACACAGCTGAATATGAGGAGGAAAAGAGGCATTAATGTCTACAACTTGCTCAAAAGGTTCAGAAAAAATTAATGTTAATGAGTATATACACAGAGAAGTGATGAAGCAAATGCAGTAAAATGTTAATAACTGGGGAATCTGTTGTGAAAGAAATATGGGAATTCCTTATGCTCTTTTGGCAACTTTTCTGTACACTTAAAATTATTGGAAGCTTCAAAGTTTGAAATAGTCTGAAAATAGTTCTTTTCAAAAAAAATTACCTTAAGAAATATTCAAATCATATTCTTTTGAACAAACTGTCAGTCCTCTTTAAAAGGACTGGATTCCGAGAAACATCTAAACTCACTTGGAATTAATTTGAAGGATAAGGTAGACAACTCCAACTAGGTAACACTTTGCTCAATATGTGAATATGGTCAAAAAATAAAGTATGACTATGAACTAGTAACACTGCATCTCTTGGGTAGTTAGTAATCTGACTCTTTAAAAGTCACCCAAAATAGTCTACAGTAAGTGATTAGCAATCTAAGGTCACAACTTATAATGATAATACTCGTAAACACTTGTAAGTTTGGGCAGTGTTGTTTTGTTTTGATATTTACACCTTATATATGATGGGAGTGTAGGATACACTTTATAAAAAGTCACACTAAAAATTAAAACCTCTCTCTTTATGTCTTGTATCAATTAATATTTCTTATAATAATAAAATAATAACACAATGTAGAAAGTAAGAGTAGAGGCACTAGAATCGAAGAGACTTAGATTTCAATTCTGGTTCGGCCTGCTTCTAGATAATAGGACCTTGGACATGTTACTTAACCTTTCTCAGACTCAATTTCTTTTCTTACCTCATAGGGTTGCTGTATGAAGTAAAAGATAAAATGTATGAAAGGCCTAACATTTTAGGTAGCACTAAATAAATGGTAGCAGTCATTATCAGCCATAGTAATAATAAAATTGTTTCAAAAATTTATTGATCTAAGCAAACATTTACCAAGTGCTAACTAGGTGGCAGGCACTGTTCTTGCACCAAAAGGGATTTAAACGAAGAAGGAATCTAATAGGTTAAATAAGACATGTATAAAGAGTGTAAGTATAATATAACAAAGAAATGTAATCACAAAGACAAAAAAGTTAAATAGATCAGATCTAGTCTGAAAAAAATCAAAAGGTTCATAAAGAAAGAAGCATTTGATGTGGACCTTGCAGATGGGTAAGATTTTTTGAACTATTACCAGATAATGATTGGAGGGAGACGGGAAGAGAAGAAAAATATCCAAAAGAATAATGTAATGAGGGGCGCCTGGGTGGCTCGGTCATTAAGCGTCTGCCTTCGGCTCAGGTCATGATCCCAGGGTCCTGGGATCAGGCCCCACATCAGGCTCACTGCTCCACGGGAAGCCTGCTTCTCCCTCTCCCACTCCCCCTGCTTGTGTTCCCTCTCTCGCTGAGTCTCTCTCTGTAAAATAAATAAATAAAATCTTAAAAAAAAAAGAATGGAATGAGCAAGTTTTCACAGTATAAGTAATGGAGGGAATAGTAAGGTGTTTCCAGTAATCTAGTTTGGATAGACCAGAGGAGATTCATAAACAAAGAGAGGAAAGGAGGAAGGAGGATTATTCAGGGAGAGCCATAAAGCTCAGGCTAAAAAATCTGGACTTAATATATCATTAGTGAACCACTGAAGGAGATGCTAAATAGAGAAACTATATGGTCAGAAACTTTCTTCTTATCTAAGAACTTTTAAGTAAAAATGAGAATTGATCATAAACCATGTCTTACTTTGGGCCAGCTGACATCACTGGACAACTTTCCTCTGTACAGAAATCTGTGATTGTTCCGTAAAGCATATTAATCTGATTGAAGAAATCCACAGCTGCAAAGCAAGTATCAGTTATAAGTAAAAAATTAAATTTTAATTTTACTCAAGGAGAATCCTAGATTTATCAGTGTTCTTTCCTCTACAAAGAAGAGGCAAAAAGCATACACAGAAATCACAACATGTGGCTACTCTGAAATTAGGGGCTTCTGTTTATTAAGTTCACCCTTAGGTGGGTGAAAAAAAAACAACCACAGAGTGGGAGAAATTCTTTGCAACACACAGAGCCAACAAAAATTTGGGGGTGCATCCAACTCCTGATTTTAGCCCAGGTCATGCTCTCAGGGTCCTGGGATCCAGCCCCATGTCGGACTCATCCGGCTCCAGCTAAAGATTCTCTCTTTCCCTCTCCCTCAGCCTCTGCCACCACTCCCACCACCTCCCCACACCCACTTGCACTCTCTCTCAAAGAAGAAAAACATATTGTATTCAGAATATATAAAGAACTCCCATGCCTTCGGCTCAGGTCATGATCCTGGAGTCCCGGGATCGAGTCCCACGTCGGGCTCCCTGCTCAGCAGGGAGTCTGCTTCTCCCTCTGACCCTCTCATGCTCTCTATCTCATTCTCTCTCTCAAATAAATAAATAAAATCTTAAAAAAAAAAAAAAGAACTCCTATGGATTAAAAAGAAAAAGACAACATAGTAGAAAAATGTGAGACAGTTTTGAACCAGCACTTAACAAAAGGAAGCTTCCAAATTGTCAAAAAGCACAAGAGATTGGCAATCACGGAACTGCAAATTTAAATGATAGTGGGATGCCATTCCACAGCTATCAAAAAAGCTACAATGTATCTGAAAATGCAAAGAACTAAGAATATCCAACATATTCTTGAACAAGATGAACATCAAAATTTATGAAGCACAACGAATAAAACTGTGTGGTCTTAATAGACCAATGGAACAGAATGGAGACCAGACACAGGTTAGCACAGAAGTGTATTAGTTTCAGGTGTACAATATAGTGATTCAACAATTCTATACATTATTCAGTGCTCATCACGTTAAGTGTACTCTTAATCCTCTTCATTTATTTCATCCATTCCCCAACCTATCTCCACAAATAAATTTCTTAAGAAGAGCACAAAAAGGACTAATAATACAGTTTTCTATGTTTCACTGGATTTATTCCTAGGGTTTTTTATATTTTTGATGCTATTTCTAATTTTGATATTGACTCCAGTAACAATCTTGTTAAATTTATCTATTGGTAATAATAATCTTGGTGTAGTAATAACAATCCTAATATTCTGGTTTTTCAACATTCATTCATATTGACTATGAATGAATATGCTTTCTTCCAAGAGAAATTAAGAAAACAATCCCACTTGGGTGCCTGGGTGGCTCAGTCAGTTGAGCATCTGAGCTTAACGTGAGATCAAGCCCCACGTTGGGCTCCACCCTGGGTGTGGAGCCTACTTAAGATTCTCTCTCATCCTTGCCATGCCTGGGTGGCTCAGTCGGTTAAGCGTCCGCCTTCGGCTCAAGTCATGATCTCGGGGTCCTGGGATCAAGCCCCATGTTGGGCTCCCTGGTCAGTGCGCTGGAGCCTGCTTCTCCCTTTCCCACTGCCCCTCCCTACCACTCATGCTCTCTCTCTCACACACTCTCTCTCTCTCAAATAAATAAATAAAATCTTTAAAAAAAAAAGATTCTCTCTCATCTTCTCCCTCTGCCTCATCCCCCCTCACACGACCTCTCTTAAAAAAAAAAAAGAAAGAAAACAATCCCATGTATAAATGCACCCATAATAGTAAGATACCTAGTAAATCTAACCAAAGAGGTGAAAGACCTATACTCTGAAAACTATAAAACACTGATGAAAGAAATTAAAGATGACACAAAGAAATAGGAATGTCTTGGAAGGACATGGATTGGAAGAGCAAATGTTAAAATGTCTATACTACCCAAATCAATTTACAGATTTAATGTCATCTCTATCAAAACATCAACAGCATTTTCCACACAACTAGAACAAACAATCCTAAAATTTGTATGGAACCACAAAAGATCCTGAATAGCCAAAGCAATCTTGAAAAAGGAAAACAAAGCTGGAGGTATCACAATTCCAGATTTTAAGGTGTATTACAAAGCTGTAGTAATCAAAACAGTATGGTACTGGCACCAAAAGACACACAGATCAAGGGAATAGAACAGAAAACCCAGACATAAACCCAGAATGGTCAATGGTCAATTAATCTTTGACAAAGCAGGAAAAGAGTAATGCAATGGGAAAACTGTTCAGCTATATGTAGAAGAATGAAACTGTACCACTTTCTTACACCAAACACTAAACTCAAAATGGATTAAAGACCTAAATGTGAGACACAAAACCATAAAAACCCTAGAAGAGAGCACAGGCAGTCATGTCTCTGACACAGAAGAGAGCCACATTTTTCTAAATATGTCTCCTGAGGCAAGGGAAATAAAAGAAAAATTAAACTATTGGAACTACATCAAAATAAACAGCTTCTACATAGCAAAGAAAACAACCAACAAAGCTAACAGGCAACCTACTGAATGGGAGAACATATTTGCAAATGGCCTATCTGATAAAGGGTTAATATCCAAAATATATAAAGAACTAAAAAACACCCAAAAAACAAATAATCCAATTAAAAATGTGGCAGAAGACATGAACAGACATTTCTCCAAAGAAGATATACAGATGGCCAACAGACACATGAAAAGATGTTCATCATCACTTACCATCAGGGAAATGCAAATCAAAACTACAAGATATCACCTCACACCTTGTCAGAATGGCTAAAATCAACAACACAAGAAACAGGTGTTGGAGAGGATGTGAAGAAAAGGAACCTTCAGGCAGTGCTGGTAGGAATGCAAACTGATGTAGCCACTGGAAGACAGTATAGAGGGTCCTCAAAAAACTATAAATAGAATTACCATATGATCCAGTAACTCCACTACTGGTTATTTACCCAAAGAAAACAAAAACACTAAATTCGAAAAGATATATGCACCCCTATGTTTATTGCAGCATTATTTATAACAGCCAAAATATGGAAGCAAGCCAAGTCAGTGTCCATTAACAGATGAATGGATAAAGAAGATCTCTCTCTCTCTCTCTCTCTCTCACACACACACAGAGTATTACTCAGCCACAAAAAAGAATGAAATCTTGCTACCTGCAACAACATGGATGGATCTAGAGAGTATAATGCTAAGTGAAATAAGCCAGTCAAAAATGACAAATACCATATGGTTTCACTCCTATATGGAATTTAAGAAATGAAACAAACAAAGAAAAGAGACAAACCAAAAATCAGACTCTTAACTATAGAGAACTAGTGGTAGCCAGAGGGGAGGCAGTGGGGGCTGGGGGGGAAATGGGTGAAACAGGTGAAGGGCATTAAGAGTACACTTATCTTGATAAGCACTGAGTAATGTATAGAATTGGTGAAACACTATCGTACATCTGAAACTAATATAACACTGTATATTAACTACACTGGATTTAAAATTTTTTTTAAAAGTCTACCCAAAAATAAAAGAGTATCTCAAACATATTTTACTAACTTCAAAAATCATTATTGAATTGCCTTAAAAAAAGCATAATGTAAACAAATAACTGAGTATGCTACTGAAAGAGGCAATTTAGTATAGTGGCTAAAGTGTAGTCTCTACTTGTCATGATGAACACTGGGTGATGCATGGAAATCATGAATCACTATATAGTACACCTGAGACTAATACAATGCTGTACGTTAACTAACTGGAATTAAACTAAAAACTTAAAAAAAAAAAAGTGTAGTTTTGGGTCGCCTGGGTGGCTCAGTCGTTAAGCGTCTGCCTTCGGCTCAGGTCATGATCCCAGGGTCCTGGGATCAAGCCCCGCATCGGGCTACCTGCTCGGCGGGAGGCCTGCTTCTCCCTCTCCCCACTGCCCCTGCTTGTGTTCCCTCTCTTCACTGTCTCTGTCAAATAAATAAAATCTTAAAAAAAAGTGTAGTTTCTAAAATTCTAAAGCTCTATATCTGAGCCCAGTTTCTATCATTTGATAGCTGTATGACCTAGGCAAATTACTAATCTTTCTGTCTCACCTTCCTTATCCATATTAAACTGAAATAACAACAGAACCTACATCATGAGGCTATAAAGATGAAATAAAAAGAATCCATGCAGAAAGGGTAACTGAGGGCCAGACATAGAATTAATGTTCCATAAATATTAATTGCTGTTATTATTACCATTTTTTCTACTGAAGATGATAAATCTATGCTTTGTGTTACACTGTAACAGGAGATAAAAATTTCAAAAAACTCCATACTCACAAATATAATAACATAAAGGCTAAAGTGGATTGAGGTATCACTTTAACTGTGGCATTAGGTTTGATAACTAGATCCTTGAACAAACAACATCCAAACACTCACCTACAATGAGGCTACTAACCTAATTTAGAGTCTACCTAGAAACAGGCTACTTACTGTTCACTGCAACCCATTCATTTAGATCTTCCCCCTCAGGAAGCATGACAGCCATCCGGAGATTGCCACTACCAAGTGTGGCTTCTGCATGCTTTAGGAGTTCATACTGGTGAGAACCCTCTGGGATGTTCTTCTTTGGTTTAAACGTTTTAGAGGAGCGGCTACCACTATGAATAGAAAAGAGAAAAAGAACCTCAATATTTAAGGCATGACTTTCAACAGAATATTCTACATTGTACTACTGAATAAAGTAACATTGAGGTGATCCTAAAGTCCACAAATAGCCCTAAATTGTATTGGATACATTAAATCCCAGCAAAATAATTGTTGTAGCTACTATGTTTGATACCCAAAACTCCTACAAACCTCTACATTCCATACTGCAACTCCCTAGGAGAAAGATAATTTTTAGCTATAATTCATCCAGCTTTTCACAATAAATTAATGATTCAGGATTATAAATTGTAGTCTACAACAACAAAGTACTTGTTTCCGGTCATTTTATTCCTTTTCACCCCTATTAAGTCTCTCATTCTAATACAAATAATTTATTTCCTTCATTAAAGATAGTTTTATGTCAATAAAACACAAAAATCCTAGAGTGAGAAAGAGAAGCTATATGTTCTGCCCAATTATAGGAAGCAACAGCAATCTTAATCCAGAATTTCACATATGCAGGTAAGTAGCTAGACATTAATATGGCTGACTTGCTCAAATTTCTGAATTCGTGTGGATACACACATGCATTTTTTAAATGGGTCAAATGAAACTAGTCTTAGAAATGGTTTTAAGAGTTTTTAAGAGATGGATTTTTCTGTTAATGCTATCAAATTCTTAACAAACTGTATTATATCCCAGTCATCCCTTCTCAATACTTCCCTTTTCTTCTCTTCATATAAAAAAGGAACAGTTAAGAATGAATTAGAGGAGGCTGGGTAAGTGGCAACTCTGTAAAGTTTAATGTTACTAAACCCATACCACCAAAACATTCAGACATGTGAGCTTATACATATGAAAGAGGAATTCCAAAAAGAATAGATGAACAATAGTTAAACTTTCCAAGCTCTCCATAGCTTTTCACTCACTACCCCTTCTCCTAAGCTTAATCCCATGATCTCTCCTGTCTTCCCCAAGGTAAAGGGTAGTTCTCAATGTTGCTTACATATTATAGTCACTTGATATGCTTTCCAAAAAGTACTGAGGATCCTGAGATAAACTAAGAACTACCAATCAACCCAAATATCCAATCAAATGACAAGTATTTTTCATTTCTAAGGCAATGGCATTCTCCTTTAAACTGGTCTCGTCTCAGGTGTTCAACTGGAGTAAACTGAGGTTCTTTAACTCTAACACTGCCCCCTCTCCCTGCCAGGTATCTCTACTTAACAGTCCAGGTATCTCTAAAAGCCCTGATCAGACATTACTCCTCTGCTTAAAACCACTCAGTGGTTTTCCAATGCTCTCAATGTAAATCCAAACATTAGACACAGTCAGGCCCTGGACCAACAGTAGAGTACAGAAACTCTTCTTCAGTTTAATCAGATAATGCATTAAATACCAAATTCTCTCCCAGCATTTCTAAAATACAAAAACACAGAAAAGATCATTATGGCTACACTAAGCTTGAGACTTACTTCATTTTCCTGCTCTTCTCACCCTTTATCAAAATTTAGTGTGAGAAACAACAAAGACATTTCACTAATTTATGTGTGATTAATTACAAAAATAACTCTCCTGTGACTAATCTGGTGCATGTCTTCAGGCAGGGTGTAAGTTAAGTACACTCCCTTTAATTAGCCACTCTTCAGACTAATACAGCAACTGAAGATGGGACACGCTATTCTGAAAAGGGCTGGCAAAGTACATGAGCTACAGGGACATCAGTTGTGCCTGCACTCAGAGGAGGTCAGAGCCTCACCTGCCCCCCAAAACCATCTATTTATTGAATCACTCTGCCACAAAATTTTAGGCTTCCAAATGTTTTTTGATTGATGTGCCATCCAGAATTGGTCTTCCACAAAGCTAAGTAAATCTACCTCATAAGACTTTATTCTTGAGTAGATAGAAAAAAAAAATCTGAGTTCGATTTTGTGAGGGCCAGCTATGTTTTCTCAGGCAAATACCCCAACTTTCTTGAGTCTATTCTTTCTTAAACAGTGAAAGCCTAATAAAAATAACAAAACATCACCACTACCTATATGATAGATCTGCTGCAAAATGAGAAAATATATGTGAAAAAGTTTTTAAAACTGTAAAATGCTGTGCACATAAAATGCTAGTTTTTTTCATTGTCCTTCCTGTTTCTGAACCAGAATGACAGAGTAACAAAGGAAATGGTAGAGCAATATCCAAAGCTGGATTCAACCACTATTCCCATCCTCTTCTCCTAAGACTGGATGGGGGGAAAATATAACCTTACTTTGGAAACAAATGCTTTTACACATCAAGTTTACAAAAGAAGTTTTAAAATTTTTGCTCTGTTTTTCCATGCTATTCCCATAACAAGGTTCAGATGATCTAATGCTAATTGTGGGGCTAGACTGGAAATCAAGAAACAAGGTTCTATTCCTCATTTTGCTATTTTCTTCTTATGTTACTTAGAAAACCACAAATTATCATCTGGGCTTCAATTTCTTTATTTTGTTTTTTGAAAGTCTGGAAAATAACTTTTTACAAAAGGTTATAATTTAAGAGATGAGATAATATTTATAAAATGATTTTAGTTCCTTGGAAGTGTTGACTCCTTTCTCCATTCCTCTTTTCCAGGTACATTCAAACTTCCAAAATGTTCTCAAGTCCTTTAATTTTCTTTCTCTCTAAGCTTTCTGCTTTATTCAGGCAGAATAACCTAACCACTTCAATATTTTCTAAATATTCTTTTTAAAAACCACATTCAGCTTTTTCAACCTGAAACTTCTACCAGGATCCACCCTACCCTGGAAGGGGTGGTCAGTACTGCTCCCCATTCCTAAGTCAAAAGACCAACTGACAGAGTCCTCAAGTTCAAAAGCACAAATATGAAAGCATATATGCAAAATTCCTCATCGATGAGTACAAGATCTCATAATAACAATGTATGGCCAAATGCATATATCTCATACGGCATTTTAAGACATTTGATGCAAATATTCAAAAACATTTTCAATAACACAAAGTATGCTGCCCTTCCACCCCACCCTCCTCAGAAGAAATCTGTGTCAGAAGAATCTCAGAAGAAATATCTTGTATATCCTTCCAAAGAGTCTATGTCTAAACAAGGCAAAGAACACCTGGGCCTGTTTTTGTTTTTACACAATTGTTGCATGCTATACTAAATAATGTTTTTCAGTAAACATATCCAGGAAATGGTTGTATATTAAGACAGAACTAGATCTAACTTATTCTTTTTAAGACTGAATAGTACTTCCTTATATAAATGTATAATATGTCTTAGTCACTTAATGATAAACATTTAGATTGTTTCCAGTCATTTGTTATTACAAACAACACTGAAGTAAGTATCCTCCTGCACATGCATATATGAAGGATAAATCACTAAAAATAAAATTGCTGTGCTAAAGGACATTCATATTTTTAAATTTTATATAAGCTATTTTTCCCCAAATAAGCTGTACCCTTTTACAATCCCATTAACAATGTATGAAAATCGCTATGCACATTTTCAGTGTTAGACGACAAGGATTCTAACTGCTAATTATTCTTGTATAGCTCCTAACACAGTATCATAACTTTATGAGAATTTGGGGCTTTCTGATTAAAATGTGAATGATACATTACATATAAGGGAGTTGAACTGATAATTCATGGCATTACCCTGAGGTCTTTTCTTTCCAAATAAACCAGGATTCAGGATTGTTTGTCCTGGTCAGTCAGTCCTCTTATTCACATCAGAAGGCCAATTAATTTTTTTTCATATTCAAATTTTTTATTATGTTATGTTAATCACCATACATTTTACATCATTAGTTTTTGATGTAGTGTTCCATGATTCATTGTTTGCATATTAACACCCAGTGCTCCATTCAGTACGTGCCCTCTTTAATACCCATCACCAGGCGAACCCATCCCCCCACGCCCCTCCCCTCTAGAACCCTCAATTTGTTTCTCAGAGTCTCTCATGGTTCGTCTCCCCCTCCAATTTCCCCCCCCTTCGTTTTTCCCTTCCTGCTATCTTCTTTTTTTTTTTAACATACAATGTATTATTTGTTTCAGAGGTACAGGTCTGTGATTCAACAGTCTTACAGAATTCACAGCGCTCACCATAGCACATACCTTCCCCAATGTCTATCACCCAGCCACCCCATCCCTCTCACCCCCCACCACTCCAGCAACCCTCAGTTTGTTTCCTGAGATTAAGAATTCCTCATATCAGTGAGGCCGTATGATACATGTCTTTCTCTGACTGACTTATTTCACTCAGCATAATACCCTCCAGTTCCAACCCCACCGTTGCAAATGGCAAGATCTCATCTTTTGATGGCTGCATAATATTCCATTGTATATATACACCACATCTTCTTTATCCATTCATCTGTCAATGGACATCTTGGCTCTTTCCATAGTTTGCTGCTATAAACATCAGGATCATCCTGACACAAGTCAGGCCAATCAATTTCTAAAGCAAGACAGGTTGATTTTCCTAAGGGAAAACCCTAAATCCACCTCCCTTATACTTAATTAGTCATCCAATTTGATCTACCCTTTCTAAGTTTCAGCAGCATTATTTATTTCCTCTTTGAGAACCTAAAGAATAGATTAGCTCCCACAGTGACACCTAGGTTAATTCCCATAAACCATTTCCTACCATCTCAACACTGTCACATCCATGATTACCCTTAATTTTAATCCTTTATTGTCCAATCCAACTATCAATGAAGTTGGTATTTTCAAATTTGGACAAGAGAATCTTAAGGCTAAAGGAAATGAGGCAGGGGGGAGATACGTAGAGAACTCAAAACAGGGCCACTAGCAAGGGTTAGAAGGTTATCTGTATGTTTTACTGACACTGAAGAACATGACAATTATCTTGAACAGGTTCTTAACATTACCAAGCCTCAGCTTCCTCATCTATAAAATGGGAATAATAATATCTACCTTACTACTGAACCCTGTGGTAAGAACTCCACTAATATTTGTTCTCTTTGCACCACCTCTAGGTACCAACCTGTTATTCACATCAGTAGCTCCTTCCATAGGTCTAAGTCCAATACTAAAGACCAGGTACTTGATAAACAGTTGTTAATTGATAGTTTCAATGAACTTCAGGTTAAGAACTCCTACATCAGAATAGTAACGATGAATGTATTATATAATATATATTATCTATTTCATATATATATTATACATATATGATATATTAACTAACATTTGCTGCAGGCTTTGTGCTCAGAAGTATTTTACATGTAACATCTCATTTAATCCTTTTAACTCTATGATGTACAGGCTATTATTTTATTTTATGGATAACAAAACTGAGGCTTAAAGAACTTACATAATTTGCTCAAGATTGTAAGAGTGGTAGATAAAGGAGCCAGAATTTAAATCTAGGATTTAAATCTTTTTTTTTTTTTTAAGATTTTATTTATTTGAGAGAGAGAGAATGAGAGATAGAGAGAACGAGAGGGAAGAGGGTCAGAGGGAGAAGCAGACTCCCTGCTGAGCAGGGAGCCCGATGTGGGACTCGATCCTGGGACTCTAGGATCATGACCTGAGCCGAAGGCAGTCGCTTAACCAACTGAGCCACCCAGGTGCCCTAGGATTTAAATCTTTAAAGCCCATTCTTTTACCCACTACCAAAGACTACATGATGCTTACCTTTATCTTCTATCCAATTACTTCTAACAATTTTCTTCCTAAATCACCATAGTTTAAACCACTTATGAAAAAGCACAAGACTAATGCAAACTGAGTATCAGGCACATTTTTAAAGCAATCTTCAAACTACTTAATTCCATTTCTTCTCCTCATATCTCTTCTAATTTATATGAATATTTAGTACTACCATTAAGAAAAAATAAAATCCCGCCAGAGAGCAATTTCTCTCAAAGTTGCCAAACATAATAATGCTTTCAGAAAGGCAGTTATGTGCCAGCAAAAAAAGTTAGAAATTACCAAAATCAAGTAGAACATGCTCTAAAAATAATAAAGCTAAAGGCTGTAGGCTAAAAGCTATGAGTATCAAAAAGATCATCTTCATCCAAGAAAGTGAGCAATCTGAACAAACATACCTACTTATAGTTCTGCCTAACCCTAACATTCTTTTCTTTTTTAAAAAGATTTATTTATTTTAGAGAGAGAGAGAGCACACACACACAAGCAGGGGAAGGGAGAGAAAGGGACAGAGGGAGAGAGAGAATCTCAAGCAGACTCCCCGTCGAGCATGGAGCCCAACACAGGGCCCCATCCCAGAACCCCCAAGATCATGACCTGAGCCAAAACCAAGAGTGGGACTCTCAACCGACTGAGCCACCCAGGCACCCCATGTCTAACATTCTTTTTAAGTCACTGTTATTAGTGGTACTATTGCTGCTATCATTAATGTTAGGAAAGTAAAAAGTCCTTAACATTGCTAGAAAGCAAGAAAGAAGGCTATCAGTAGACCAGAAATTGAGGAATTCTGGTAAGATTAAAAAGCTGAGGGCGCCTGGGTGGCTCAGTCGTTAAGCGTCTGCCTTCAGCTCAGGTGATGGTCCCAGGGTCCTGGGATCGAGCCCCGCATCAGGCTCCCTGCTCATCAGGAAGCCTGCTTCTTCCTCTCCCACTCCCTCTGCTTGTGTTCCCTCTCTCGCTGTGTCTCTCTCTGTCAAATAAATAAATAAAATCTTTAAAAAAAAATAAAATAAAAAGCTGATGAGAATACATCTGAAACTAGGAGGATATTATATGTCAATTATACTTCAATAAAAAAACATAGATTTAAACAAATGTTGATGAGATACAGTGACAGAAAAAGTCTATCTTTAAAAAAAGAAAAAGGATGCCTGGGTGGCTCAGTCCGTTAAGCTTTTGCCTTCAGCTCAGGTCATGATCCCCAGAGTCTTGGGATCGAGTCTGCATCAGGCTCCTTGCACCTCCGGGAGCCTGCTTCTCCCTCTGCCTGTGGTTCCCCCCTGCTTGTACTCTCACGCTCTCTCGCGCTCTCTCTGGCAAATAAATAAATAAAATCTTATTAGAAAATCTAAAAAACCTGGCCTAGGACATGCCCACTGATACATGCTATAACATAGAGTGAATCTTGATAATACTATGCTAGTGAAAAGAACTCAGACACAAAATATGTAGTATCACATACCGTGTGACTCCATTTATATGAAATGTCCAGAATAGGTAAATTTGTAGAGACAGAAAATAGGGGCTGGAGAGGAAGAAATGGAAGAGTGACTACTAATGATACAAAGTTTCTTCTGGGGTGTGATGAAATGTTCGGGAATTAGATAGCCAGGATGGTTGCACAACTTTGTTAATACACTAAAATCCGGGGCACCTGGGTGGCTCAGTTGGTTGGGTGACTGCCTTCAGCTCAGGTCATGATCCTGGAGTTCCGGGATCGAGTCCCACATCGGGCTCCCTGCTCAGCGGGGAGTCTGCTTCTCCCTCTGACCCTCCCCCCTCTCATGCTCTCTCTCTCTCATTCCCTCTCTCAAATAAATAAATAAAATCTTTAAAAAATACACTAAAATCCACTAAATTGTACACTTTAAAAGATGAGTTTTATGGTGTGCGAATTATAGTTCCATTTTTTACATTTTTCAAAGAATAATCTTTATTATTAAAAAATGCTGGGATGCCTGGGTGGCTCAGTCGTTAAGCGTCTGCCTTCAGCTCAGGTCATGATCTCAGGGTCCTCGGATCGAGTCCCACATTGGGCTCCCCACTCAGCAGGAAGCCTGCTTCTCCCTCTCCCACTTCCCCTGCTTGTGTTCCTGCTCTCTCTCTCTGTCACATAAATAAAATTTTAGAAAAAAAAAATGCTTCTCACCACCTCAATAAGTCAGTTTCTTTCATGCACTTATCCACCTTGCACTCTGTCTTCCAAATTACATACTCTGACCATCACCTATGTTCTAAGTAGCACTCTTCTAAGCGCTGAGACACAGCACTGAACAAGAAAGACAAGATCCCTACTCTCATGGTGGGGATGGAAAGAAGAAAGATTCCAATATTTGTAGGTAGAACCAACAAGACTCGCTGTCGGATTTCAAGATTTGTGGAAAGTGGTGAAGAATCAAGGATACCTAGGTTTTTAGTCTCAAGTAGGTAGAAGATGGGCCCTTTATTGAGATAGGTTTGAGGAGATGGGTTTTGGACATATTAATTTGAGATATCTATCAGACATTCATATGGATATGTTAGGTAGGCAACTGTATTTACAAAACTCAGGCTCAGAGGAAAGATCAGACTAAAGGTAACAGATAATTTTGCTAATTTCACTGGTTAGCACAGTGCCAAAAGATGCACTAGTGTATTATTAAATGAGTATTTTATAAGCTATGAGAAGTCCTATAGTAGTAAAGAAAATTGTTTATGATTTAGTCCAGGGCTTCCCAAACATCTTTAGTCATGGAAACTTTGCTTCCGTATTTTAACATCTTGCTCTTTAACACATTATTAGGGAATATTTCACCAGTATATTAAACTGATAACTGGGTTGCCCCTCAGTGTAAAGTACGTTCACAACATTTACAACTTTATAAAGTATAACTCAGTGACTTCATATAAGAACAGGTAGAGGGTTGGTCAATTCACTATTTAATGCCCCACAACATTTTACAATCTAATCCTTAGAAAATAATAAAGCACTTCACACACAAAGGCCAATTAGTTTCTACACCTGTGAAGTGATCTGAGGCATTATCTCAACTACAGGCGAAGACACTAAAGTTTAATCACTCATCCCCAATCACCCTCTGAGCTTCTGAGTCGTATATAGGCTGCAGTTTCCTTTACCCAGCACTAAGTTCATTATTCCAGTCAGTAAATAGGTACTGAAACCACAAGAGATTTTAGGAAGTGCCCAGAGTCAAACATCTGGGTGATTTCCATGCAACGGCAGTGACTCCATTTTCAGAATCCTATACAATTTACTGCACTGTTAAAGGGAAGAAACTGAATTTTGCTTGTGCAGAGCTCAGAATGAACATCAATCTAGCAACTGAGTTGGCAATAATGCCAAATACACTGGTATTTCAACCAAGACACATCTAGGGAGCTTAAACATCACTTCTTTTATAAAATTTTTTCCTAACCCCCCAGGAAAAACTGTCTATTCTCTCTTGTGTTTCACTGTAGCTTAAAGTACCTATAATACCTTATGTATTTTTGTGTTTGTTCTTTTTTAGATAGTACACTGGAGATCAGTATCACCAATTATGTAGGACTATTATGACAATACATTTAAAGCAACTTAGTTTTAAGGTAGCTGTCACACAGCATATGCGCAGTATAGGAACTGACAGCTTTAAAATGTTCAGGGAATGAATGACTATATGTATATGCACGTTTACATGCATGTATACACATATGTATAAATAAAACACCAATCCTCATTTTATCCCTGTCTTAGTCTGTTCAGGCTGCTGTACCAAAATATCACAGACTGAGTGGCTAATAAACAACACAAGTTTAGTTCTCACAGTTTTAGGGGCTGAAAGTTCAAGAACAGGGAGCCAACATTGTCAGGTACTGGTGAAGGCCCTCTTCTGGGGTTGCTGCCTGCCCACTTCTCTCTGCGTCTTCATATGGTGGAAGGGGCCAGGGATCTCTGTGGGTTGTTTTGTTTTTTGTGGTTTTTTGTTTGTTTGTTTTAATAAGGGCACTAACCCCAGTCATGAGGCCTCACCTCCTAATACCATCACAGTGGGCATTAGGAGTTCAACATATAAATTTGGGGATACACATTCAGACCACAGCAATTCTACTGCCACACTTACACTAATCCATAAAGGGTTAAATCATTCCCTCTCTTGCTTATTTGTTTGCATTTTACACTAGAATGTGAATTAGTCAAGAATATAGATCATGTCTTAGTCACCCTTGAATCCCTAGTACCTAACACAGAACCTGGGATGTAACAGATACCTAACAAATGTTTATTTAACTTTAAATAATGATGTTGAAAGGGGAGAAAAAACTGTTCTTATTGCAAGGAGCAGTTGGTCCCAATATTAAAGAAAAAAAAAAAACTGATCCACTGT